TAAGTAGTATAACTGATATTGATATGGACTTTAAAACATGTATACTGGGAATTTCAAGAAATACATATATAGACAGAATCGCAAATCATACCATAGCCATAGCACTACATGTAATTTTTAAGAGTTGGGCATTATACAAAGATAAAAATTACTACAACAGAATAGATTGTTTTAATTTATTTGTCAGAGAATGTATGGAAAAATTTAAGATCGAAAAAACATTAACAAATACCGAATCACATGTACAATTATTACAGAACTGGATTGATAAACTTTCAGGAGAATGTACTATGTAAATCTCAACAACAGCTCAAAATATGTTCCGTTTCTTTAAGCCACTTCAAATAGACTGCTGACCGCTTTTTATTCGGGACATGTTAAAGTACCATACATATGATTGTATGTCCATCAAATAGAATATTGTAGACAGAGTAGTGCCATAGTAGTACCAGAATTGTACACAGAATGGGTTTTGTATATTGTATATATTGAATTGAATAAAGATTTTAACTTAAAAAAAATGACCGATCACTTCACAACGTTATCTCGCGAAAGTTACGGTTAACAGACTCGTGACATTATTCACACGAGATTTTACTTATACGTGACGTAAGCAATTGATCTCTCTGTATCAATTAATAATTTGATCTCTCTGAAAACTGTGTGTTGGAACACAGATGAACTTTCATGATTATGTGTATATTATGTACATTGATATGTAAAAGTGATATTGGATACCTGTAGACTTTTTCCTGACTGCTCCTTGGGTTCGTGACGATGTCCGGGTGCGTGGTTTGTCCCGTTCTTGTTGTTCTGCCAATCGTTCTGCCATAGTTTCCTTGAATTCGTCTGGCTCCTCTGTAAGCAATAGATGCCATATACCGTATGATTCGTTGTTACAGCTGAGACCCTTTGGCAATTTTATATCTTAAACAAACATGGCATTCATGTTGTTCTTTTGTGATATGCTGTTTATTTAGATGCAAAATGATCATGTATCATTGCATGACACGTACTTGTGGTCCCAAACTCTCTAAGTAGCAAGATCTATAATGTCGTGCCAGGTGATAGATATTAATATGTTTGTCGGACCTTTTGCCTTTCGCCAAGTCTTGGTCTTCACGCTGGGTGAAATCTCGATGCCGTCTGTTATCGGTTCATTCTCCACAGCCTTCTCTCCCGTCAGCCTCCTGACGACACACGTCTTCCCGGATCTGAACTGACCAACCACGAGCCCGCGCACGCTGTGCACCGGTCGCGCCTCCTGGCGGCAGGCCTGGGAGTACAGCTGCTGCATTCTAGGACCCCGCAGCTGTATTTCGAGTGGAACATTGCTGTCTCCTGGATGAGAAGATTTATACAATTCATCAGACATCATTTATAATATCATTTTGCTTTCCGTACACTTACGTAAAGCCGACGTCTGATTAGATAGATAGAATGATCTACTGAGTCAAGTATTTGTACTTCACAGCTAAAATAGTTATGTGTTATACCTTCTTTTGTCGACATCCCTAAGTCTTCACGATGTCCCGTGATGTTCTCAGCCCCCATGTCGTCTGTGGGGAGGCTCCGCTTACTGCCGCCTTTACTCCTACGATAGTTGCCGATGAAGTTCTAAAAAATCATTACAAGTGACATTACTGTTAACCAGGATGATACAACAAAACGATGAATCACAATTCATTTGAGGTACAGAGTACGATTTCATAACGTTAACCAGGATGATACAATGAAACGATGAGTGACAATTAATTTGAGGCACAGGGTACGATT